CTATTTTCTTTTTTGTCTAAGAGATACAAAATGATTTAAAATGGATAAAATAACACCTAATCAATTTGCATGTAATGCAATATTCATCTAAAAGCCAGGATTACTTCAACCTTAGTTAGAGCAGAACTAAAGAATTTTTATTCTGATATTTGCCAGTGATAATCATGCTTTCATATTAAAGTATTAATAATGAAAATTTTCCAAGGAAGAAGGTATAATTTAAGGCTATTTAGAATATGGTTTCTTGCCACCTCTTAATGACTGGTCTACCCTAGCTGGTCCCTGAAACCATGCTGCTGAATATAATCTATAAAGCCTTAATAAAGGAATTATATAATTGACATATCCACTACAATCTTTAAAATGCTATTTTAAAAAGGTCCTCTAAGCAATTTTGGACAGAACTCTTCATCAGAGCTTTCAATCTGTACTATATTTAGGATCCAGTCATTCAGAGAGGGTTAATAATAGTATGGTTATTTTATTTTGTTAGCTTTATGGCTCTTATAAAAATATTGTAAGTCAATAGATACATGTGTTTTCAAAGGCAGGATTTTAAATAAATATAAACACCCATAAATAAAGAAATAATAACTGGAGTAGTAGTGGGGAAGGTATTTAAGGCATTTTTCACTAATCACTAATTCATGTTGCATACATTTAATTTGTAAATTTAATTTCTTCAATTCAGACTTTGTAGAGAAGAACTCAGTTGGAAATGAGAAGAAATTATTGCAGTACCAGCAACCAGCATATCTGCTCACAATGTCAATCTTTTCCACAATAAAGTAGCACTTCTAGTTCACCCTAATTTTTATTTTATTAGAATTTTGTCCCATCTTTATTATATTATATTAGTAGCTATATCTAAAACTTGAACTCTTACCCTGATGAGTTTTATGTTTAAAATGGCTTAACATAGGTAAAAATATCACAATTCTAATTTCATTATAAAGCTTTTTGTTACTTACCGTGCTTTTGTCTTTCAAAAGCTTCTCTATTACTTCGATTAACATTTCTTTTTGTTCTGGATCAAGACTAGAAATTTAACATTAAAAATGTCAGCAGATATTCAACAGATTTGGGCTAAATATATATTCTAAGTGGACAAAAAGAAACAAGTGTAATGGATTTCATTCTAAATTATAATGTAGATATATGTCTCAACTGCTCAATAAAATTGAATCTGTACAGAGTATATATACCTTCTCCATCTGACAACTTAATCAAAGTAATTTTGTTGATTTTTATCTCTACTAGTAGACTTATCATAAACTTTGTTAAACTTCATTATGCTAAATATTTAAAATATTTCTTATATATTAATTGGCTAGAGATAACGTACCTGTAAAGTTTCTGAATTGCATGAGCAGCATTTTTTCTAACATAAGGTGATAAATCAGCTGATGCTTCTTTGATAGCAAGCATCATAATTGGAACAATAATTGGCACTCTGATACTTGATAGCACCCGCAAAGCACTTGCACGGATCAATTGATTATGATCCTAAAATAAAAATAAAATAAAAATAATCTTTAAATAAATGCCATTTATTAAAGGCATGCATTTATTTTTGGTTTTCCCCTTTTTGTACCTTAACACCTTACTTTATGACACAGTTCTACAAAAGAATCAAAAAGAATAATCTAGTCCAGCCACTGTAGATATTCATCTAATAGATACAAAACAATCAAAACTTGTTTTAACTTTTAAATTCTCCATTAGATAATTAAAACTAAAGTAGACAGAACTGCCTGAAATTAGTAAAATGTATGCTTAGAATCATAATTAATTTATTGTGCTTTGTCCATTAAATCTTTGAGAAAAATGAGGACATCAAATCACTGAGAAAATTCAACAATTTATAACAATTTTTCTTTGAATTAAAATACTAAAAAAATATTTTCATGAACTGTTCATTTTTCTTGATTGGAAGACACAGAATTTGGTACAAAGTGAGTGGCTATATAAATGTATGCATGCAATGAGTGGCTATATATTTGGTATAAAGTGAGTGGCTATATAAAATGCATGCATGCAATGCCAGGTGTGGAGTTCCGGGGCGAGGAGTTAAAATAGGTTATTTCCAGGATGTGAGGGATCTGTAGATATTTTCTCAGTCCTCTTTCTGACACGTGCAATATGCAGGTCCTCAAATGAAGGCAAACTGGTTGCAAGTCCTAATTATCCGTTGATGTCTGTATCTGTTCTATGGTTGCTGTACCAAATCAGACAGTTATAGAAATACAAACAACAGACTCAATAATTCCTCTGTAGAACTGTATCAACATCTCTGGGGGCAATCTGAACTTTTTGAGTTGACGCAGGAAGAACATTCTTCGTTGTGAACCTAGCTTCACCTGCTGCATTCTATCTGTCAAAAAGCTATATCCACCCATAAGTATGGATAGACACAGCTAATTGACAAATAATAAAATAATTCTGTGAGATGTCACCACAATCTGCATTACAGATGAATATACATGCTATTAAGTCCAGAAAATATACTATAACAGTTAAAAATTACCCGATAGCTTTTCTATAGCTATTTTTAATTTTGTAATTCCTAAAAACAGCAGTGCCTTTCCCCAAGATTGTGCAACTGCCTTCCATACTCCTGCTATATATAAAATGTCAAAAAGATGGTATTGCATTTTATTCCTCTATCAATGTCTTTGCATTCTTTCTAGAATTCCATAGCGCCTGATACATAGTCCAAACAGGATAATGCTTTAGCAGGAGCAGTTATGTAACATATAAAAAGTATAATATTAGTTTATTTTAGTAGTCAGTACTAAAGAGTCTATAAGGCTTGCATACTCTAAAGTTGTTACCAGGAATTTGATTAAAACAATGCTATTCATTCCAGTTTTCTATAAATATCACATTCCCTTCTCCATAAACCTTCGTTTCTAATCCAATTAGAGAAACAACAGACTTGATATCTGCGAAGGGCAATCTATTAGATCCAATCAGATTGAATCCAAACACGGTGCCTGCCATTAAAATACCACTGAAAAATTCTCTTCCCTGCAGCCCTAAGTACAAGTCTGCAACTTTCTCTAGAGGAGTGAGAAAACCCTCCCAAGCTAATCTGAGACCCTGAAAGAGAAGGAAACTTCAGTTATACAAATAGAAAACCACATCTGCAAAAGTGGATTTAACCACTTTCAACTTTTTCAATGGCACTTTATATAAGCAATCAAGCAGATTAACCTCAGAAATAAAATGGTATACTTTGGGGTTTTGTCTGTTGAAAATCAGCTACAGTTTTATAAAAAGAAAAATTGCTTCTCATTTAATTTTACTCACTTTCAGAGCACGCTGAAAGGTGCTGATTGACAGCAGTGCCAGATCCTGCTGCTCTTCTGCATAACGCATCAAATAGACATATACAAGTTTTTTAATCTGAAAAACAAACCAGTTCATTTGGACATATTAAAATATGGTATCATTCACAAGTACATCCAATATGGTTGTTTAAGATTGTTGCATTACGGACATTCTAGATTCCCTGCGACATGATATGCTTCCATTTTATAAACAGAGTTTCTAAACAGGCAAGTCACTGAAATTCTACAGTTTGTAAAAATTACAGTTTAGTTAATTTCTAAATAAAGTCCATATAGGTTTAAATGGACCTCAACAAAAATTTATTGCAATTTTAAATAAGATCATAAAAAACTTCTAAGTACAGTTGTGCTATGTGACTATCTGAAGAAATATTTCTCTTATTCTGCCAAAAAGCAACATATTAAATCACAGAAGGTTACAAGGCTTTAAATTATTTGTTGTTGTACTATGAACAAGCAGCAATCAACACTGACAACAAGAGGCCTGTATAGTGAATGACTGCAGGTGTGCAGAGAAAGCCTCTGTTCCTTGAAACCACTTGGAGATCAGAGGCAGGAGAACTTCAGTTTCGTGACTGCACCGTTCTTTCATCATTTACTTTCATTCAATGTTGCAGCATTCGTCCCTTTAAAACTAATAATAACAGAGCCGCATTAGAGTTGAGGAACACAGGCAGTTCTGTTTAATTAGTTTATCAATACAAGTATATCAAACTTCATGAGTTATTGACTAAACCTTTTGTGATTTCTGTTCTAAACCACCAATTATATTTTAAGGTCACTTTCTGCATCTTTTAATGCAAAGCCTAAAATTAAGTGTAGGGCAATTCGCTGTTTATAAAAATTAATTTGAGTAAACTAAATGTCCTTGACTAGTTTTGAAATCCTTGTTCTGCCACACGCTCTGTAACTGGATCTTTTTCTAGAAATGTGATGGTCAGGGAGAAAAAAGGAGAAAACCCAATGATAAAGACACATCTTCTCCTTTTCTCCCCTTTCAAGTACTTTTCTTTACCTTTCAGGTTTTCAACAAAAAAAACTGAAAAAAGAACTATGAAATATTTTCAAATATTTTTATTTAAAATTATATATAAAATTAAATAACAAAAATCCTGACTCATGTTAAAAAATAGACAAATAGCATGCAAAGGGATAAGCCTTCATCAATACTAGCAAACTTTTAATTTCCAGAAAGCCAGAGAACAATAAAATAATATAGAGGATTAAACCTGAGAAGAACAGCTGGGTAGAAATAAATTTTAAAATATCCCTATAAAAATAGATTGTAAAAGTATGGCAGATATGGGATGCTAATTTTAAACTCCTACAATATACTTACCTCATAGGTTTCAAGCACTACTGCAGATTTATATCTTTGATTAATGTACCTTAATGCCTATTAAAATCTATAGACAACCAAACTACTCTGAGAATTTCAACATAACATGCATTGATGACTGTCAGAGAAAACATATTTCAATATTCAGTTCATATGAAATGCATACAGCCCAGCAATGTGTATTTTATGTGAAATTGTTTGTAATACAACCTAGCTTCTTCCACAAAGATACTTATAACATTTTCTTAAAGTAAATGTTTTAAGCTTTCCCAAGTCGCTGAGGTGAGATGGGTGGCAAATAAATCTAATAAATAAATAAAAATGTATTTTTATAGTCTATAAAAACTGATGGAACCAGACTGAAGAGATCTTAGCATTAACTTCTATAACCCAGCATGAAAGAGATTATTGCTGGCTCTGTGTTCACAACACAGCTCTACAGTACTTTGTATTTAGTGCATAATATGCAGTTTCATAAATCATGATAATACCATGCTAACACATTAACATATTCCATTAATTATTACAAGCAAGAAGTGATGCAGTGTTTGTAGCAGGCAATAAAGCTTTGCTTTAGTATCTTTCGAAAGGTAGGCAAACATTTCTGCCCTGGTTCAGAATTAGCTTAACTAATGTTGATGTGAGGTACATTAACTCCTCCCTAAAATGAAATATGAATATATTGGAGGATTTTTATTTTGGGATAGTAAGCTTATATGTTGGCTGGCTCAATTTTCTCAGTACAGATATGAAGGAAGCTGGTTGGCAAGGAAAGAGGAAATAATTTTCTCTAAGGAAGAACCATATGGTTATTTTAACATGAAATATTCTCACCTTAGTGAATTATTGCTTATAATTATTAAATTATTATTTAATTTACATGTTCATAATAACATTAAATGGTTTATTAAATATATAATATTTGTCTGAAATAAATGGTTTTTTCATATTCCATATTATTAAAAAGCTACATTCAATGCCTCAGTTTCTAAACCTTAACAATTCTAAAGAATTGTTCTAATAAAAGGCTAACAATGACACTTTTCAGATAAATTTGATATCATGTTATAAGGATTACTTTTGGATATGCAGTCTGTATTTTAAAACCCACTACATCTCTTACCTCATAAATTCCTAGATCCATTACTAGAAACCAATCTCATAACACCTAGTACATTGTCAATAATAAGATACACAATAAAGTACAACAAACTACATTCCTCTTAATAATGATAGAGGGAGAGAAAGAGAGCTAGCTGCAAGTAGCTCCATGCAGTATTTCTCATTGGTTTTAAAGTAGCTCATATGTAAGGTTGATTTAAGCTAGGGATCAGAAATCCATAGCCTACAGGCCACATGTGGGTCCTGAACTACTTTTCTGCACCTCCTATCAAATCATCCCACTGAAAGTGCTTCTATTGATTTTTCATGGAAAATAAAACCATGAAGGTATGTAAGCTTTAGGAAACTGTAGCAAGCTAACCTCCCACCATGCCCTAAAGCACTCCACTCTACTTACCTGCATGACTTTAATTAGTTTGATATCTGTTGGGACACAAACTCTACTATGCATGATTCTTCCAGAAAACTAAAGCTGAATGTAGTTGTAAGAGCCTATCTGGGCTGGTCACCAGGACCAGAAGTTCTGTCTTCTGAGTTTTCTGACTCATGCTGGAGCCCATCTTTAGGAAACTTCTCTGTAGACTCTGGTCCCAGTGACTGACCCAGATTGGATCCTGAAAACATTATCCTGGAACACATATATATACTTCCCTTCATTCATGAATGTAGTTGAACATGTATCATGAAATCAGAGTTTAATAAACTCGGAGAAATGATGAACAGAATTCCACAGGAGGAGAAGGCAATGGGGAAAGGAACTCATTATCAGTGGAATTCTTGAAAAATAGATATAGCATATAGTGCATAATAAGTATATAGTGCAGAAGAATATCAAGGATTGCAGAGGCAAACTTGACTACACAAAGTTCTTAGTAAAGATCTGAATAGAAAAAAATATACCCATATAGAGATGGAAAGAGATATATATCACCAAGGAAAACTACAGAAATTTTCCAGAATTGTAGAAATCGGGAAAGGTAAACTCAGGATGACTTGGGGCAAAAGACACTAAGAAAAATAAATGTGATAATACATTTGTTCTAGTGTAAAAATACCCATTGATCAGAAAATACCGATTCCTATGTTACAACAATACATTTAATAGTAGTGACCATAAAACTATGATAATATGAATACTCTCTTGATATTAAGGAAGACTTGGACACAAATTAGCTACAAAAGTCTGTGAATCCAGAGGAGAAGGTCGATACAGATCAATCACAGTGTCTGGATCCAGAAAGAGATGGTCCAACTAATCAGGCTCCAAAATCCCATTAGAAAAGTTTGTAAAGATCTGATCACTTGATCACTAGAGTTTAAGCAGCTGATAGGGGCTTGAAAGCATATCTTGGAATTCAATAAAGTAAACTTGAGTACATTCAGAACAAAGGTAAGGAGAACTATCTGGCTGAGAAGTTAATAAGAAAAGGATGCCGAAGTGAATGGGAGATAATAAATTATTTCAGTGATGAGAAAATATGGACTTCATACAACAGACTTCTTTTTAATTATTAAATATACCTAATTTAAGAAGGATCCAGGCAAACATTATGTACTATAAAGAATGAATAGACTGAGCTAAGTGAGGATGTGATAATCTTCAACAATCCGAATACTGTGCGTCAATAAGAAAAGGACAAGATATCTTTATATCAATCTATAAAACGTGACATGGAGTAATAGATTTAATTTTACATAATATTAGATTACCATTGAATGTTAGGAAAAGTTTCCAAAAAGTAATAACTACTGAGAGAGCTGATGGGCTTCCTTTCACTGGATGTGATCAGAAATTTGGATTCCTGCTTGGAGCAGCCAAAATGACTCTGTCCAACTCTGTAATTCTTTGAAGAATCCAAATGTGAATAGAGAGAAAAGAATGGTGGAGAAAAAAAATAGTTTAGGTAGACTACCAAGTAAAACAAAATGCACATGTTATGGTTTAGTGCAGAACTCCATGAAGCCTAAACACTTTGCACAAAAGTTCCTTCTGATGTGCAGATGAATTTTTTTAATATACACTAATAATTTTATTAGCCCTATTTAATGAGAACATTCCCTTACATTTAAACATTGTACATTAAATCAAGCATAACAATTAATAACCCGTTCATAACAGCAAAGAACATCCTTGGTTTCCAAAAAAAATGTTGTATACTCCTAACTTATTGTTATGTCTGATATAAAAGCAGTTGAAAGAAAGAAGTAATGGGAAAAAGGATATTATTACACTATTTAATAGAAGTCTTAATAATCAATATTCAGAGCCTCTGGAATGAGTAATTCTGCCTAAAATAGCAACAGTAAAGAAAATCTAAGTGTACTATTAAGACTTCCCTGAATCTGCTTTTAAGTCTGATATGTTGCAATAAGTACTTTTATTTTTTTTTAAAAGTTTGAGAATATAGAAGAAATACATTGGGAAATGTACCAACATAATTCAGAGCTTCTATTTGAAATGCTTCAATTACTGGAGAATATGAGAAATAAATGCAAACTAATAAAATATGAGAAAAACAGAAACCAGATAAACCATAAGAACATATAACCCTTAATTTATTCATTCAATTTATGCCTTCTACTTCTACAGTGACAAATATTTGATGAGTAATTAGAGTATTATGAAAGCCACTTTGGTGTGATGGTTAAGACATCAGACTAGAAACTGGGAGACCATGAGTCCTAATCTCGCTGTTAGGCACGAAGCCAACTGCATGACTTTGGGCCAATCATTCTCTCTCAGCCTTTGGAAGGAGGTAAAACAAACCGCTTTTGAAATTTTGCCATGAAAACTTCAAGAACTTGTACAAGCAGTTGCCAGGAGTCAATACTGAATAAAAGGTACGCATGGGCTTGCACATACACAAATTACAAGAGTGCATTCGCCCTGATCCTCCTGGAACGATTCAGGCTGCTCGTTCAAGAGTTAACATACCATTATTTCATCAATGATGGGCAGAACTAATCTAACCAGGGGTATTCTGATGGGGGCAGAAATATTTGTACCAGAGTATTTTAATAGGGACAGATGCAGCTTTGCCAAACAATAAGTACCGTATTTTTCAGACTATAAGACGCACCTAGTCTTTGGGGAGGAAAACAAGAAAAAAAAATCTGCCTCTGCCTCCCAGCATCCATCCGGTATTCATCTTTGCCGCCGCAGCCCATTCGCCACCACCGCCACGGCACTTTCACCACAATCCATTCACCACCACCACTTGTTCGCCATGGCCCATTTGCCGCCACTGCCATGGCCAATTCTAGAACAGCTGATCGGCGCTGCACCAATCCTCCTCCTCACCCTGCCACAATATTTGCTGTATAAGACACACAGATATTTCCACTCCTTTTTTGGGAGGAGAAAGTGTGTCTTATACTTTGAAAAATACAGTAGATACAGAACCATGCCAAATATTAGGAATAAATAAGGACAGAGGTAACCTTAACACTTACAGTTTAGCAAGAGGAACATGTAACTGACAGGAATTTCTATTAAAAGCAAAGTCATTCCCTGTAAATACACTGAAGAAGGTCAACAGATAGGAACAACTAGACCTATATCACATGTTCCTATCATAGAAGATTCATTACGTTTTCTACCTCTGTTTAACTAGAATATTGTTATAATTACTATACTGGTAGTCCTTGACTTACAACAATTTGCTTGGTGA